CTGGAAAACCGCCCTGAGTTTTGTGGCTTTAGCCCGCGCTGGCCGGGTGCAAAGCTGCAAGTCGGGGTTTTGCGCAGGCTGGGACGTCCGTGTCGCCCCGGGGCACTTCAGGCCAGTCCGTGCTCCCACAGTACCTTTTTTTCATCCCATCTTCCCTCTCTCCCACCTCCTGAACAGCCCTGTTTTGCCAAAGCGTCCCCAGCTGAGCAGGGCCCGGCGTAGCGGGGTGCTCCATGTGCCATCGATGTGCAGAGCTGGGGGGCCGTGGCGGGAGGAGGGTCCGCACAGCCTCTGCCGGCGGCCGCTCTCCCTGGCTCTGGTGCCTTTTGGCCGTGGGGATGCTCGACAGCCTTTTTCCTGGCTCTGGGCGAGCGGTGAGGAGTTGTTTTTCTGGCTGCTGGCCGCTGGCCTGCCCGTCTCCCTCTCCCCCAGCACATGCGTTCCCTCCCACTTCTCCTCTTCCGCTGCTTCGGAGTTTGTTTTTAAAAAGACTAAAACAAATGAGGTAGAGAGATTCCCAGAGACCCTGCCCGTGCCTTCCCCCTCGGCTCTGTGTCTCCCCCTCCATCCCCGGAGGTGCCTGTAATACCCCCTCCTGCGCCTGCGGTTGCCCCCAAGACCTTCTTGCCCCTTTTTGCCCCGGGGAGGTGCTGGAGGGCAGCCTCGGGCCTGAGGATGCTGCTGATGGGGAGGCGAGAACAAGACTGCTGCTGCTGAGCGTTGGCTGGTGGGAGCTCCCTGTGGGCATTTTTAGCATCGCAAGCAGAGGAAGGCTGTGACATCTCTTCTCTGGATGCCATCAGCTCCGAGGATGGAGGCTGTGGCTTGGTGGGCTGGTCCCTTCCTCCTTGTACCCCCGCTTTCCCCTCCGAACGATGCTCCTGCATGTAAGCAGCCCTTCTCAGTGTCTTAAAGCCGAGCCCGATGGCTGTGGTCCCCCAGCAGCCCCACTGCATTTCCCCACTGCGTGTTCCCTTCGTGGTATACAGCAGGACAGTGACATTGGGCTGGAGGGGACCGAGGGGTGGCTGAGCTTCAGCGAGTTCCTGCAGATAGACAACGTCACGTGGCGGGGATTTGGCTCAGCTGGGAGCTGTCAGAACTCCCTGTTTCCCATCCTGAGATTTGCTCGTTACAGTCTGTCCTTGTGTGGCTGCCAGCAGCCCGGCACGTCGGGTAGCACTACACACGCCATGCCGCTGCCTCCCTCCAGCCTTCCTCCCGCCGAGCATCCCCGAGGGACTTGCCCATCCCTCTGGCATCCTCCTCCTCACTGGGAGGTGGGAACACATGTAAGCTGAGAAGCAGGAGGTGACAGCCTGGCTTATCGCTTGCATCCTTCAAAATCACTGATGTGTAGCAAGATCCGAGGCCCTTTGGGGATTGCTGAAGCTGGGAGGTTTCTGGAGCAGCAGGCAGGTACGGCCTCCCAGGGCGCCGGTGCTGGCACCGTGCTGCAAGGAGACGGGACAAGCGCTGCAGCCTCTCGGGTAGCGCTGGGATGAATTGTCAGCCCTGTGGAGGACGTCAGCCTTTTTGGGACCCCTGGCTTCTTGCAGGTGTTGAAGGGCACATAGAGAGAAGACTTGAGGTCTTCTTGCTTAGGGTAACTTCGCGTGGGCTCTTCTTCGCTCATAAAAGTGCAGCTGAAACGTGCTCATCTGCTTTTGCCATGCCTGACCCTCGAAGGGGGCTATGGGGCTCATCCTGCCCATCTCGTGGCATCGTGCCGTGTCCAGCCCCGAGGCCTCGGTGATAACGGGGCAGAGGAGCTCAGCGGCTTTCAGGCTGCGGCTGTTAATCTTCCTCAACCTCCGTATCATGCCGGTTATGGTGGGGCAGGCAGGGTGTAGCAATTAGAGCCAATTAGCCAGAGACAAATTAAATCCCAGGCAGTTATCAGCAAGATGGAGGGAGAACGGGATAAACCCTGCAATGGGGTTTCCTGGGAACATCAGGTCCTTCTCCGACATAGGCTGAGGTCAGGGACATTTCTGTCCTGGAGAATTGAGCTGGTGCCGAGAAGTGTTTGCCCTTGACCAGAGGGAATTTTTCCTGCCTGGGCCACGCAGGAAAGCCAGAGCTGGCCCCATTTCAGCAGGGCCGTGCACCCCGTCGTCTGCATGGATGTGTGCCTGCGGTTATTAATAGTCCCTGTGCCCTCCTTGGGTGAACGCGCTTGTGCTCTTTTTCCTTGCAGGGAGGCGCGGGCCGGGGCGGGAGTTTGCCGGGTTTCCCCCTGGAAGAGCTGTGCAAATCCTGCATTACAGGGCAGGAGCCTGCAGAGATTTCTCCTGCAATATTGCAGTCATCAGCACAAGCTCCCTGATGCCGTTGAGGCTGAGGTTTGAACAGCGCAGGGTGTGGTTCTCTGTCTATAAAGTAACGTTTGCATTTGGGTTTTTTTTTAATTGAAACTGCTTTTGGAAAACAATTAGCTCTCAGGCTGCAGTGGCCTTGGCCCTGCGTCCTGCAAGAGCACCCCCCTCGCAGTGTCTTTTCGTGCTGAATTTCCTCCCCACCTGCCTGTTTCCAGCTTCCCCCGTGCTGCAATGCCCGTGGCGAAGCGTGAAGCTGCAGTGGCCACGGCTGCCTTGCATTTGGTTTGTGGGACATCACGGGGCTTGTCCGTGCATCCTTCAGTTGCTGTTGTGCTGGCTGATCCCCTTTCTGCCCGTGCCTGGCCGGCTCGCTGCCTTCTCGCTGTGTTGTTTGGAGCGTCCCGTTGCAGAGGTGCAGGAGGAGCACTGCAGCTGCAGGCGTCCCTTGGCTGGGTGGCTCTTCTGCAGGTTTGTCTTCTGTTTGCTGCAGCTGGAGGCAACCAGCTCTGCTCTGCGCTGGCCCATGGCATGTGCAGGATAAATTAAGCAAGGCTTTAGGAGGTGGTTGGTGAAAATCCCCTGCTGTGGTGGGTGCTCCAACACTCTCTAATTGGGACTATTTTAGGTGTTCCCAGGAGGATGGGGGGTTCACCACGTGGGGAGGCTGTGCATCCAGGCAGGGTGGGAATGTCTTAAGTTTGCAAAGCAATTCTCAGCCGTGGTGTCAGGGAGAGATGCCTGCAGCACCTTGGAGACTCTCCAAGGGTGTATGATTTACAGGATTTTTTTTCCCAGATGATGCAGGAGGCTTTTGCAGGCAGTAGATGGTGCGTGGCAAGCCCTTCTCAATGGCGGGGTGTGTTCCTCGCAATGCCCGCCTGTGCATTGGGGTGTCCCCGGGCCCCATCCTGATGCTTTCCCTCCCTACCTAGCAGGGTGGTCTGAGCCAGACAGGGACTGAGCTGTGCCCCGCTTTGTGTCTCGACAGCTGCTGTGAACCCGTGCACCTCCCCACGGGTGCCCCAAACCGCGCCCATGGACCTGCGGATCGGGCAGCGTGTCGTCAAGCCCGGCTCTGACACCACCTTGCTGGCTCTGAAGCACACGCAGCAGCTGCAGCACCAGCTCTTCCTCGCCAGCCTGCACCAGCAGCAAGTGGAGCAGCTCGCCCACCAGCACGTGAGGGTACGGACATCCCGGGGTGCAGGGGGGGACCTGCACCCGCTTTCAGTAGCAGCTGGGTGAGGACTGGGCACTTGGAAGAATTAATTTTGCCCCCAAAGCACGTAGCTCGTGGCACCGTGCGCGTCTGCCAGCAGTGCTCTGCGTCGGGGCTGGCTTTGTCCGAGCTCCCGTCTCTGGCAGGGATCAAGAGGAAGAGGCTGGAAATCCCAACCCCAAAATAACCTTCCCAGGTGAATTCCTTCTTTCCCCTGAGGTGGAGAGTCTGTAGTGCTTTTTAGCCAGCCCAGAGACCTCTCTGACGCAAGGAGGCCGGTTAGGGAGTCAGGTGGGGGGGTTTCGTGTCTTACTTTCAGGCCAAATCTCCATCCTGCCAAGGCCAGCGGGAGGGCTGGGGCCTCCTGGGATGTGCGAAGCAGGGAAATGTTTTCAGCTGCATACCATGTGTGCTGAGCGAGGAGCCAGAGCGGCTGGGCAGGAGGGCCGGCTCTGGTGTCTGTGATCTGCCACTCCGCTTGGCCACCGCTGTTTCTCTGCCCTAAAGGCACGGCTTACTCACTTTACAAGCTAATTTGCTTTTCTGGGAAGTCTTCACTGAAATTCTCTAGTGTCACCCAGAATAGCACCCCTGCCCTGCGCAGCCTCTGCTGCCAGACTCTGCATTGTCACAAAATTACAGCAAGATTTAGCTTGGATGGTGGCTCTGGAGGCCCCTGCTGAGAGCAGGGCCAGCTTCAGAGGTAGGGCAGGTTGCGGAGGACCACGTTGTGACCATCTCTAAGCACAGAGATCACCCCCTGCATGTCCCAGTCGCAGGGCTGCACCGTGCTCAGGGCAGGAATCGGTTCCATATATCCAGATGGGATTTCCCTCGTCTGTCCCGTTGCTGCTCATCCTTTTGCTGCCCCAGAGGACCCTGGCTCCATCTACTCTGTAACCGCTTTGGGTGGTAGAAGATGCAGTTGTACCCCCTCTCCTCTAGACTAAACGAGCCCAGCCTCATCCGCTTCTCTCACGTCCCATGTGCTCTGCCCCTGAGCAGCAGCCCTGCTCTCGGTGGCTGGCATGGGCTCACTGGTTCCAGTAACCTTGTCTGGAAGCCCCGGGGGAATCGCACTGAGGCTTTCTGGGAGAGGCTGAGCATCAGCTTGGTCCGCACAAGGAGAGTTTGAGATGCTGCTGCCATGACTGATGGGTGCTTAGAGGCATTTGTGCAGATGTGATGCTTTCTGACCTCCCTGTGAGATGGGATCATCTCTGAAAACCTCAGATCTGGAAAACACCGAGATCCAAACTTTTAAGACTAGTAGAATAGGTTTTTTTTTTCCTTTTTCCCCTTTTTAGTCAACTATGATTTTTATTTTTTTGTTGTATTACAACATACCCTAGCTACAGATATGTCAAAACACCATGAAAGGCAGCAAGTTAAAACAGACTGGTTTGAGTTTTACAATGTCCCTGGGGAGAGCGTCTCTGGAGACAAAGATGCATCCAGTTTGCTGTGATGAAACAACTTAACACGTTCTTGTTGGCCAGGGCTGCCCATCAGGTTTCCAAAAATGACATAAAGGGCCATTTCAGACATGCTCCATCACTGTGTAGTCGTGCCTTGGGCTTGGGGAGGAGGTAAGAGGGCTTCAGCCTGTGTTGGGCGAGGCTGGGGTCTCCTGGTGCTGATGTCCCTCTCCTCTCACAGGTCACCATGGAGTCCCCACACCGTGAAGCTGAGCCTGGGCAACAGGAGCAGGAGCTGCGGCAGATCCTCAACAAGGACAAGAGCAAGCGAAGTAAGAGCCTCCGTGTGTCTGCCGGCACGTGGCACCGGGCACCGCATCTCTGCCCAAGGAGCCACGTCCCTGAAACCGGGGGACTCGGCTCACAGAGGGAGTGAGATCAGAGTGGCTTTTAGAAGGGGGCTCCGCAGGTGGTTGTGCCCTTATCCAGACCAAGCTCTGCCTTCTCTTGGTCTAAAGGCGTGTGATAGCATCCACGCCACTGAGCATCTCTGTCCTGTGCATCAAACTGAGCCGTGCTCTGTGCCTGCCTGGGGCCAAGAGAACAACTTAATGTCCGTGGGGAAGTCCGATCCTTCTGAGCAGCAAGCAGCGATGCCAGTAAGTTGCACTTAGCAGCTGGCAAGAGATTTTTTGGCCTTGGCCTGGCTGGTGTTTGTCCTTCATGTCATTCCTAGCCATGCCAACCAGGTGGTCACAACCGATCTCCGTGCTAACGTTGCATCATGCCCTAAGGTCACCGCAGCGGTGTTACCCGAGCTGACGGTGCTTGTGACTGCACCGGGCAGGGTATGAATTTGCCTCTTGAACTTGCAAGCCCCGGGCTGGAGCACCCGTGGCAGTGGGGAGAGGTTAGTGGGTCCCCCCAGGCTGGGCAGAAAGGTTTGCAAACCCTGTCCGGCTGCGATCTCCCTGCGCCATCTAGTGCCAGTCGCTGCAGGGAGCTCGCAGGGAGCTTGCTCTGAGCTTTTGGATGTGCAGAGCTCTGCATCACAACCCAAAGATGCAGCTGCAGCGTGCATCGGATGCGCCCGTCCCAGTGTCCGTGAGCCTACCGTCCGCCTGCCCATCCAGTCTGAGCTCTATCGGGATGCTGATATTTTCCCTTAGCTCCTACGTGGCTGCGGAGCACAGGCACAGGGTTGATGGGGCTAATTGCAATGCTGAAAACACGGTGCCTGCCCTTTCCGTGCCATTCCTGAGCAAACAGCTCCTGCAAACACGGTCAGCTTGGCATGGCTAAGCGTGACAGCCTACACACAGCCCCTTTATGCAATCTGGGAGTTAATCATATAAATTAATTAAGTAACTTGTGCTCCGAGGTGCCGAACGCTGGCACAGAAGCATGGAGCATTCCCGTTGTAACCACAGAGCGTTCCTGCTGGAACGGACGAATGGGGATATGGCCTGGCATGAGTAGGAGCATGGGAACGGGCCCTAGTCCGAGATGGAAAACCACATGGGAGGCTCACGGCAGCCGGGGGCTGGTGATTGCAGCACCCTGCAGCAGTCAGACCTCTGCGTGGGGGTGTTTCACCACTGCGGTGGAGCCAGGTGTTGAACGTGGGTCGCTGCTGTTTGTTTGCCAGCGGGTTGTGGTAAGTCTCATGCCCTTCTGGAAGAGCGCAGCTCCATCAAGAGATTCCGGAGCCTCAAAGCTATCGCCTGTACTGTTTGGAGGTGCTTTCTTTTTCTTGCTGTCTCTCATGCAAGCTGTCTCTGTTTTGGGGGCAGAGTGTGGCTGCGTGGGGGCTGAGGTGCGGGACAGGCTGAGCTGTATGCCATCAACTGGAAATTATCAGTACGTAACACAGGCTTAGAGCCCCAGGGCATGGTGCCTCTGGAGAGGCTTCAGAAGGATCCCATGCACCCGTGGGAGTTTTGTCGCTGCTGTACGAGTCACGTTGTGCTTTCATGCCCTCTTTATTCTGTGGGTGTCAGCTTATACCTGCTCTCTCTGGCTCAGATGAAGCAGGCAGATCTGCAGCTGAGAATCGCCTCTGGCGATGCTCTGCCTCTCAACAGCCACGCTCCCAATGCTCAACGAGGCGCACGCAAAAAGATCAGGCTCCTGGGATGGTGTGGGAGAGCTGAAGGTGGGAGAGGGATGCTTCCCTGACCGTCTCGGAAACTCCGGTTGCCCCAGTTGGCCTTTCTCTCCCTGAGCCAACCTTGACGTGAGAACTGCACCAAGCATCTCTGCAGGGTTTTCTCAGTGTCTGTGTGCTTGTAGGGGGTCTCCAGCTGTCCCGGCATTACTTGCGGAGCCATGGGGCCACGCTCATGTCTGCAGGGATCCATCAAAGTGCTCTGTGTCAACTCTCAGCCCTGTGTGGTCACTGCTGGTCTTTCTGCAGGTGCTGTGGCCAGCACAGTGGTGAAGCAGAAGCTGGCTGAGGTCATCCTGAAGAAGCAGCAGGCAGCTTTGGAGAGGACCAGCAATCCCAACCCTTCAGCCATGCCATACAGGTAAAACAAGGGCATTCTTTGGCCTGCCCTGAGCTGTTTATCTTGGGCAGGATCTTGCTGTTCTCTTCTGCTTCCTGGTCTTTAGAGATATTGTTTAGCTAATGCCTGTTGGGGTGAGGTAACTTGGTTCTGTTAAGTGCTTGCAGGAAGTGGATGAAGCTCCCACATAGTTTTCCCTGACCTTGTTGGACTTTGATGGCTTGTCCCACTCCTGACCCAAAAAGTACTGTCAGGCTTCTTGTCTTTTGTCCCAAGACAAGGCAAAACCAGCAGCTGGATCCCTTTTAGAGGTGCTTGTGGTAGAGGACAGAACAAGCCTTTCTGGTCACTGCAGAAGAGCTAGCACACGCTCAGGAAAGGCAATGCCCCATGGGCCACCCTTGCGTTGGAGGACGTAGCGTGGGTGGCATATGGCTGCCAACGGGGAGAGGTCTCTAACAAGGTGGCTTCTCCCCATAGGTCTCTGGAGCCTCTGGATCCCGAGGGCCCTTCCCCTCCTGTGCTCAGCACCTTCCTGCCCCCTGTCCCCAGCACTTCTCTTGACCCCCCAGAGCATTTTCCGCTGCGGAAGACAGGTAAGGCCTTGGGATAATGCCGTTTCCCTCCCACCATGATACTCTCGCAGCCTGCTCGCAGGGGATGGCTGGAGCTGAGAAGTGGGGTGGCCTGGCCCCACGAAGCCAGTCCAGCTTTGCCGCTATCGGCAGTGGGGCCGGGACTAACCACCTTGTCCGCTCGCAGCGTCTGAGCCCAACCTGAAGGTGCGTTGCAAGCCCAGGAAGTGCCTTGACCGACGCAAGAATCCCCTGACGCGGAAGGAGAGCGCTCCCCCCTCGCTGAAGAGGCGGCCGCCCGAGGCGATCGGTGAGGACTTTGCCTGGACGGTGATACCTCGGGGGTTTGGAGAGACCTTGGGGCCAGGCTGGAGCAGCTACGGTCTGCCCAGGATCCTGCGCCACATCTGCTTGGGGATCGTGTCTGCGGGGCTCAGCGCGTTATCGGTGCCCTCCTCGGGGCACAGCCCATGGAGGGAGCTCTCTGCCATGATGATGCAGGGATAGATGAGCCAGGAAAGGATGTGG